TGTTCATCCAGCTCTATACCTTGTTATCTCAGTATCAGGTATCTTTTCACAGGCACTTGTAGAAGGTTTTATCAACTTAGAATGTTAATATTAGGTAGTGTTTGATAAGTTAGGTATGTTCCCAATGCAATGATTGATCATAGAGCTCTGTTCTGAAAAGGTAGATGATCATTAAGTTGACTAGTATTGTGAAAGTTTTCAGATGTATTCGAGTACTCTCTCCTGCAAATACAGCACTTCTTTGCATTTAGCATCTGGACACTGGTGTTTTGGTTTATTCATTGATTTAAAGTTCAGATATCTGTTAAGCTACTGAAATAGCTGAACAGATGCATAACTTCTTTGACTGAAAGTGCATCCTCTGAGCCTTTGAAATGTGAGCAGATAGCTAGTCAATTATTCAGTCAATTTCAAATGCACTTTGTATTTAGGTCTGTAGGATTTGTTTGTTTAGTTGTGGGATGGAATCTCATTATGAATAATTGGCTGCATTACAAACCCTGCTACTTGATTTGGCTTGGCAAGGATTATATACACAGTTTTGAAGGAGGCTGAGAACTTTGTCTGATTGATTGGTTTATGAGCATTTCATCAGATTAACTTGCATAGTCAACTCTTGATTCCCAAGTCTATAATCAAAATCCAGCTTTATGTACATTTAGCTTATAATCTTTTTCCATGTTAATTAATGGACATACTATTGTATAAAGTGCTTCCACAATTTTTCTGTTAGGTATGAAGTGACCAAGTTTTTGGTCTGAAGTCAAAGATGTTCACATAGTTTTCACCTATTACACTGTTAGCTACTTTAAACAAAGATTTACATTTCTCTCATAATGTGAGCTACAGGATGTTGGCAGAATTATTTAGATGTCTAACACAGATAGACTATCGTCACTGAAAGAAACACACATGCATATTTACCAAAAAGGAGCTATAGCAAACAAGCTCAGGAGGTAGAGAGAGGGGTACGTGAACCCCATGCAGAACTTTGATGAAATGCAGTGAATACTCATCAACATTGTTTTCTCTTGAAGCCTGCACACTGTTCTTTCTGGGATCAGGAAAGAATTCAGAACTTTGAAAATCTATTTGAAATAAAATTGCTCAGTCAGGGGTTTTTGTACTCTAAACTGATTTCCCCATAGCTATGCATTATTAAGCATTTCTTCTTGCATTGATTATACATCTAAGTAATCTACATTATTTCTTAGTATAGCTTATGAAAAAGGAATTTAAACCGGAGCCATTGCACCCCAAGAGTTTATGAAGTTGAGTCAGTAAGTCTGTGAGCTCACCAGATTTTAACAATTTATTTATTCTTTTATGCAATGTTGAGGTTACTAGCAAGGCTGGAATTATTTTACCCCATTCCTATTTGCCTCTTGAACTGAATGAAGCAGACAGCTAAGGGCCAACCATATTGCTGTGGATCTGGCAAGGATGGAAGATTTCCTTCTATAAAGGATTTTAGTAAATCAGGTGGGTTTTTACAACTATCATTAATACTGAGACTAGGTTTCAATTGCAGATTTTGTTGACTGAATTTATGTTCCACAAATAGCCCTAGTGATATTTGAACTAATGTTCCCAAAGCATTAGCCTGGGCATCCGAATTGCAAATTGAGTGACATTACCACTCTGTACTATTCCCCCTTAATTGTCCCTATTCTTCTATATTTGCTAACTTTGATACAATCTTTGCTGTTCTGTAATGAGACAAATGTTGTCTGCAATTATGATATTCTTAAGGAGTCAGCAATGTCTTTCAGAATTTTGGATCGCTTAACATTCCCTTTAATGAAGAGTTTGTAATTTGGTGTGTTTTTGACGATGATTGCTTTGTACTTGCTTACAGTTGCACCTACCTTCATATACAGCAGGTGGAGCTGGTATGGCTTGTGTTCCAAGGATAGAGCTCAAAGTTTAACATGGTTTTTTTGCAGGGAGATGAAGCCCGTTAACTTAATACAGATAGACCTTCACATAATGTCACCCCGTTTAGTGTTTTGTTTTAGAACATTATTTTCTTTCAAGGGCCTGTTTTCTGAACGCGCATTCTTGGTTCTGGTTTAATTTCATGCCTGACATGTCATCGCATCATCTTGTGCCAGGCACATGGTGCTGGGAGAATGCTGAATCTTTATGCATTTCTCACTAGCAACAAGATAAATTAACCTTTTGTACCACAAGAAAAAGAGACATTGCTCCCCTTTATAAGGGAAATTTCTTCACCTGCCTAAAACTGACTTCAGTGGAGAGAAAATTCTAGTTATATGGGTGCAATGTTTTCTTCCCAGCACTAGGGGCAGCCCAGAGCAGTGTGGCCGCTCCCTCATTTTATTTATACTGGATCAGCAAAAGGCATTTTTTTTTAAAACACAGAAAAAGAAAAGCAAAACCAATGTATTTTAGTACAGCAGGAGAGACATGAGTTTTTAAAAAAGCACCAAGGGAGGAATAGCATTCTGTTCAGTGAGAGAGAGAGGGGAATAGACACATGGGGAAATCACACAAAAATGTGCAAGGAACAAACAAAGTCAAAACATAAGCCACACAATGAGTGTGAATAAGAAGCTGTAATGCAAATGCGGCATTTCACTGAGCTGTTGCAGAGCAGGTCGAAACAAAATTGTGATAAAGAGCCAAACTATACACTGAAAATTCAGGGATTAAGGCAAGGATGAACTCTTCCAAAAGTCAAAACGGTGACATAAGCACCATGCCGTAGTCACTAGGATTCTGTACAATTGATGTTAAATCCATCAATGTCAACCTTTTGGTACGACAATCCACAAAATGTTACAAGACAATTTTTTTCAGAAATATCCCAGAAATTTATTTTTAGAAAAACTAATATATATGTAAATTATTTTTAAATGTGAATTTATGCATTGATTCTGTTATTTTCAGTGGTATATTTTACTTTGCAGATTCTTTCAGTATTTCAGCATGTATTTTGTCTAGTTTCGAGCAAGAAAATGCTCAAAGGAGCCTAAGTCCAGGTTTAACATTGATTCCTATGGGACTTGACCTTTCACTGAAAGTTGTTTCCAGACTTAAACTCTATGTGAGGACTACCTTATCTGTCCATGAGGTAAATATGCATGATATAATTTCTCTAGCCCTTACCCTCTACTCAGGATTCAATAAGAGATGGATGGGATAGTAAAAGGAAAGTGAATTCCAAACAATGTGTGTTACTAACTTATAATAACATAAATACAACTTTAACAGCCAAACAGCATAGAAGTAGCTTTACAAATTAGACAGAGGAAAATAATGTGGTTAATGTTAAGTAGGGCAGGTATAATCCTGTTTAAATTTCATCTAGTTTAAAATCTATATTCCATGTAAGTAATCGCGGAGAGAAATCCTTGGTGAAAATTGCACCATAATAAATCAGAAATAAATTCTAATATTATGCTACATATCTTTAGATAAACATTATGTAATAATGAACTGAAAAGGTTACTGGGAGAAATTTTCTGAGGACCCATAACATGGGCACAGGTAGCACTGACTTAGTGCGGGTGGCTTCTTGGAAAATCTCAGGTTCACGTACTTCTTGCAAGAATCAATGCACCTATGATTTTGCAAAAGTCTCCCACTTCACACATAGCCTTACTGGAGTCATGGGATCTTAGAAAATTTAACCCACTCATATGAGCTATGCATGGGAGTTGACTTAACTTGCATGTGATTGATGTGAGTAGGTACTGAAGCACCTTCAAGTCGACGAATGCACCTATAGATGTCCGTTTCATCATTTTGTTGGCTGCAGGAACTGCTCCGAGCCAGAAGCCACTCATCCAAAGACGTCATCACTCATCGGCACTCACCAAATAAGCAAAGTTATTCAAAAATCTACAGAAAGGAAGAAAGAAAAATGCAAAAGAATATAAATCAGAATTTTATACTTATGACACTTGAGTTTGCTACAAGTGGACAGGACAACAACTGAGGTGTCAAAAATGAGGAATCTGTTTCCTCACTTTGTACCAATCAAGATAACTCAGTGGCACGGTGGCACAGTGGTTAGCACTGCTGCATCACAGCGCCAGGGACCCGGGTTTGATTCCAACCTCGGGTGACTGTCTGTGTGGAGTTTGCACATTCTCCCCGTGTCTGCGTGGATTTCCTCCAGGGGCTCTGGTTTTCTCCCACAGTCCAAAGATGTGCAGGCTAGGTGGATTGGCCATGCTAAATTGCCCGCAGTGTTCAGGGATGTGCAGGTTAGGTGGGTTATTGGGGATGTGTCTGGGTAGGATGCTCTCAGGGTCGATGTGGACTTGTTGGGCCAAAGGGCCTGTTTCCACACTGTAGGGATTCTATGATTCTATGATATGCAGAAAAGAAAAGACACAGGGACTAGCCAAAAATGATGTCTTAATGACAAAGACCCATATTCCATGTAATGCTGCAAGCAAAATTATGAAATGAAAAGCTGGAAATACATGGTCTGACAGCACCACTGGTGAGAGAAAAAATTAAACTTTTCATGTTAGAGACAAAAAAATCTGCAGCTGCTGGAATCCAAGGTAGACAAACAGGAGGCTGGAAGAACACAGCAAGCCAGGCAGCATCTAGAGGAGAGGAGCAGTCAACATTTTGGGTATTACCCTTCCCATACTCAGAAACATTGATTGCTCCTTTCCTCCAGATGTTGCCTGGCTTGCTGTACTCTTCCAGCCTCTTGTTTGTCTACCTAAGTTTTTCATATATGTGACCTTTCATCACAACACAGACTTGAAACACTGGGCAGGTTGTAATGGGTCTGTAAGATTCACTCAGCAAAAAAAAAGTCAATCAGGACAAGCTTGGCCCCAGTTCTATGGCTCATTCGGCAGACATTTGTCCCTCAGATTGGAATTGATTGGTTTAAGGTAAGGTATCACCTAGAGCAGGCAGGAATGTCTGACCGTGGGCTTGTATAAACAGGCTGGCAAGAAGGAAGGAAATGGGCCAGGAGAACTTTGAGGGGCATATTAAAGAAAAACCTCTCCTTTGCCCACCTGTGCAGCGAGAGCTGAACGTGGTTCAATTGACCCCTGACAGGCAGGGCTTTCTGAAGCCTCTGCTGACGCTGGGAAATTTGTACTGGTGGTTACAGGGTGGGCACAGTACCAAGGCATTCTACACCATTTGCAAATCTGCTGCCAAGGGACTGTATATGCCATCCCATTAACTTTCATTATTCTCGCCACAGATGTTGCGAGGGCTGCTGAGTTCATCCAGAATTATCGGTTTTATTTCAGGTTCCCAGTATCAAACATCCAACTTTCCAGAAGTCCAGCATCCAGTACTTTGCTTCTGGGTTAAAACTGCAATAAAGTCACTAGAAGGGGATTCTCTCATCAAAGGTTATAACAGGAACACATAGACATGAGATTCTCTTCTTATGAAATACATCTTCAGTGACTTTCCACAACACTCATCCAAATAATGAAACAAAAAATGTGGAGTTCACTTTCACTGTATGAAGAGAAGAACTTCATTATACTTGAATGTTTTAAACATGCAAAGAGGGTACCATGATTGAAAATATAAGTGACACATTTCATAGAATCCCTACAGCATGAAAACAGGCCCTTTGGCCCAACAAGTCCATACTGACCCTGAGAGCATCCCACCCAGACACATCCCCAATAACCCACCTAATCTACACATCCCTGAACACTACAGGCAATTTAGTATAGCCAATCCACCTAACCTGCACTTCTTTGGACTATGGGGGGAAGCTAGAGCACCCCCACACAGACATGAGGAGAATGTGCAAACTCCACACAGACAGTCACCCAAGGACAAAATTGAACCTAGGTCCCTGGTACTGTGAGGCAGCAGTGCTAACCACTGAGCCACCATGCCACCCAACCTTGAAGCATTTGTCCACCATCCTCAAGGCAAAAATCACAAGTGTTGTGGAATACTCCCCACTTCCCTGGATGGATGTAGCTCCAACAACTGAGAAACTTGGCACCATCCAGGACAAAGCAGCCCATTTTATCAGCAGCCTATCCTTCATCTTCGACATTTACAATCCCCTGCCCCTTTGCCAGTGATGCAGAGTGGTAGCAATATTGTTTTCTCTTAATTCAGAATTTTGAAAATGTATTTGAAGATGCACAGTGGCAACTTGCCAACCTCCTTTGACGGCACTTCCCATATCTACAACCTCTACCGCCTAGAAGAACAAAGGCAACAGATATATGGGAAATTCACCTGCAAGTTGCATACCCTTCCCCCCATCATCCAGACTTCAAAATATATTACTATTCTTTCTGTATCGTTGAATTATGGTACTTCACCCCCAATAGTATTGTGGGTATCCTTGCATTAAATGGACTGCAACAATTTAACACTGCCACATCTGAAGGGCACTTAGGGGTGGGCAACAAATGCTGGCCTTGCCAGTAGTTTCAAACATTTATTTTCTTCAGGCAACTGAGCTAACTGACTATTATGATCTTTTGTTGGAATCCCTGTACTGGTGAATGGTTATTGACCTGAAACTTTTAACATTCTTTCTGTCTCCATGGGTCCTGCTTCCCAGCTGAGCATTTTATTTCAGATTATCAGCAAGAGCAGTATGTTGCTTTGTGTAATGATCTGTATACTATTTATAACATGGCAAACACTTTAAAATAATCTTGTGGTTGACAGTTTTGACGTGTTTGTTCATTGTTAAAGTTGTAATTTTACATAAAGAACTGAAACTACTTTAGCAAGCCTAACTTAATGTAAATTGCAAGTTTCATCAGTTAACAGGGTTATAAGAGGAACAATAAAAATATACACACTGCTGAGACAAATTTCATGTACGAATGTTGTGGATGTGGAACAAATGTCGAATTGCTGTTTAAACAGAGTAAATAATGCTAAAAATTAATCTAAAATAATGCTCTGAATGGACAAGTTCAGTATCTCATTTAACTTTCAATAATTGTTGGGGTTTGTTTTAATATAATTTTTAACTTCTTGTTTTCTTCTTTATCTCTAATAATCCAATCTTTTTTTCCCTCTCATTAATTGGTTTTCTGTACAATTCAACTATTATCGAATTAATATTCTGGCATTTCCAAATTCAGAATTTGTGCTGTGATTAAGTTTGAGCTTGAATTCAACTTATTGTTGTCACATGTGGCGAGATATTAGTGAAAAGTGTTGTTTTGCGTGCTTTGCAGGCAGATCGTACCATACAAAGTGCATCAGGGTAGCAGAACAGAGTGCAGAATATAGTGTTACAGTCACAGGGAAGGTGTAGGGTCTGATAACAATGGAGAAGAAGCTGTTCTTGAATCTGTTTGTGCCTGACAGAAGTGGATGAAAGAGACTATAACCAGGATAGGCAGGATCTTTGATTATGTTGGTTGCTTTCCCAAGGCAGCAGGAACTATGGATGGAGTCAATGGATGAACAGCTGGTTTGCATGATGGATTGAATTGTGTTCACAACTCTCTGTAGTTTCTTATGGTCTTGGGAAGAGCAGCTGCAATACCACACTGGAATCATCCAGGTAGGATGCTTTCTATGGTGCATCTATAAAAATTGGCAAGCCAAATTTCCTTAGCCTCCTGTAGAGGAGGAAGAATTGAGGAAGTAGAGGCATTGGTATGCTTTTTTGCATCAATGTGGGTAGACCAGGACAGATTGTTGTTGACTCCCAGGAACATGACGCTCTTGACCATCTCTACCTCAGCACCACTGATGCAGACAGGGGCTGCTTCCTGAAGTCAATGACCAGTTCCTTCATTTTTCTGACATTGATGGAGAGATTGTTGTCTTTACACCATGCTGCTAACCACTCAATCTCCTTCTTGCATTCTATCTCATCGTTGTTTGAGATCCGACCTACAATAGTGGCATCGTCAGCAAACTCGTAAATGGAGTTGGGGCAAAATTTGGCCACATAGTCATGAGTGTTTTAGTAGGGGACTGAGTCCACAGCCTTGTGGGGCACCAGCGTTGAGGATTATGGTGGAGGAGGTGTTGTCGCTATTCTTACTGATTGCGGTCTATGGGTCAGGAAATCAAGGATCCAGTTACAGAGGGGGAGCCAAGACCTTGGTCTCGGAGCTTAGAGATGAATTTGTTTGGAATTATGGTGTTGTAGGTGGAGCTGTAGTCAATGTTGTCCTGTTGTTCGAGGGATGAGTGCAGGGCCAGGAAGATGGTGACTGCTGTGGACCTGTTGCACTAGTAGGCAAATTGCAAAGAATAAAGGCAATTTGGTGGTGTTGATGTGAGCCATGACTAACCTCTCGAAGCACTTCATAATTATGGAGGTCAGAGCCACTGGGCGGTAGTAATTGAGGCACACTGCATGATTTTTCTTTGGCGCCGGGGTGATGATGGTCTTCTCAAAGCAGGTGAGAACTTCAGATAGTAAAGAGAGGTTAAAGATGTCTGTAAATACTCCTGCCAGCTGGTCCGCACAGGATCTAAGTGCACGACTGGGGACTCCTTCTGGGCTAATCGCTTTTCACGGGCTCACTCGCAAGAAGATCAGTCTAACATCTGCAGCGGTCACCATGGGTACAGATGCATCCGAGGCTGTTGGGATAGGTGATACTGTTTCACTGACCTTCTGTTCAAAGCAAACGTAGAATGCATTGAGCTTATCAGGTAGGGATATATTGTCGCCTGCGATTCTGTTCAATTCCGCTTTGTAGCCTGTTATGTCGTGTAAGTCTTGCCACGATCGATGGGTGTCCGTGTGGTTGGTCTGGGTCTCAAGCTTAGTTTGGTATTGCCTCTTGGCATCTCTGATGGCTTTACAAAGGTTGTACCTGAATTTCCTGTATAGGTCAGGGTTGCCCAACCTG